AAAAAAAAAAAAAAAAAAAAAAAAAAAGTGTATATGGACTAACTTGTGTAATTAAGAAAAATGAATAATTGGAAAACATTTAAATGTAAATATATATTTTTACACATTATGTAAGACAAATGTGCTGAATGGTTTTCAAAATAAAAATGATGTGTTGCCCTGAAAATATTAGAAGTGATTATTTAAGTGTTGAGAGACAAAAAATAATAAAGTAATTATAACTAAGATAACTAAGATGTGGGTCACTTGACATCTTATTTCCTCAGAAGCTTAGAATGTACAATCTTTGCCCTGGAGAAGTTGGGATAGGTAACAGTAGGGGACGTAAGAGTCTCAATTTAGTCCCCTAAAGGCCTATCATATAAGATTTCTATATGACTGATAGGTCATAAGATAACTTGGTCTGAGATTCAAACTCCTATAAGCAAGTTTGTTTTTTTTAATAAGCAAGTTTTTGTGACCCATCTGCACCTGAGTATTCTACCACAGTGATGGTGAATCTTTTGAAGCTTTCAATGATAATAAATAGCCCACTGCAGCATGCATGCCATAGGTTCACCACCACTGTTCTATAGGAATTTCAAATTCCAAAGTATCTTAAAGTAATTCCCTTCTCTCCTAGACCTGTTTCTACTGCATAGTCTATGTCCTAGTTTAACTGTACCAGCATACACTCAATTCCCCAAACCAGAAACCCATGAGTAATTCTACCTTACTTCTATTTTCACCTCCCACATCCAATTAGTTACTAAGGAGGTATTTGTAGTACATTTAGTTGATAAATTGCTAACTTCTGGAACACATATAGATTCCCCATGCATTTAAAAAAAAAAAGACAACTAGTTGAAAAATGTGAAACAGAAATGTGTAAAAAATTCATAGGAGAAAAAACACAAATTCTAAACATGAAAAAATGAAATCTCATTTGTAATGAAGAAAATACATATTCATATCGCTATAGGATACCATTAACACTAACTCACTGGCAAGAAATTTTAACTTGGATAATACCAACTGTCAGCAAGAATGCAGGCCTGATCCAGAAAGTACAATCTTAATAAGCAAAAGCATTATTGTATGGATGAAATACTACAAACTGAAACGTCTGTTACTGAAAATAAACAGACTTGACATAAGAAGAGCCATTTTTAAAATATATAAACTAAACAGACATCAGAAAATGTTTATATAAAATATGATTTAATAGGTATTGTTTAATAACAACATTAGATGTACATATAGCCATATGTGTGCACATACACATAAATCTCTGCATATCTTCCCTTGGTTAAAAATCCCTGGATGTCTCCTAATCTAGAAATTTACCAGATCTTTCATCCTCCTGAAATGAGTCTAGCCTCATTTCCCAACATTCCTTCATTATCACTCAACTAAATGCAGGACTACACTTTCTATTCTATATACTAATTGGATCTTTACTATGCGTAGCATTAATCTACATTCAAAATACTAGATGACCAAACTTTTTCTTTTTTTGGTACTGGGGATCAAACCTGAGACCTTCCACTTGCAAGGCAGGTGGCAGCACCACTGAGCTAAATCCCAAGCCCACTAAACTTTTTAATCACTATCACCCTTCACCTTTGCCAAAGTATTTACAGTTTCGGATATTGAGCATACATTCTCAAGCCTCCTGCTCAGAATACATTTCAAACTTCAACTAATTCTCCCTTTCAGAACTAATTTAAACAGCTGTATTAGAATCCATTGGCCAACGCTGTGGACTTCTCTGCCCTTCCACTTTGTACAATCCTTTAAAATAATATTTTCTCCTATAGTAATTAACTTACATGCTGCTTTCCCCCACTAAACTGTGAGGTCTTTGAGGGAATAAATTATTGTTCATATGTTTTTCCTCAAAGTCTAGAATCATAGTAAGGAAAGGTTGATGAATAGATTGAAATTAATGGCAAACAGTAAATATGTTTCAAGAATGTGGATTCTTTCTTGAAGTTAAACAATTTTACAGTAAATCACTTAAAATAAATATGGCTATATTAAAATAAAAATTTCTTCTCCCTGTTCAAAATCATTTTCCTTCAGGTTAGACAGCAGCTTCCTAACAACCATAATCACAAGTCATCAGACCATAAACTTACTTGTCAAAAGTCATAGACCAAAAATGATGTGCTTTGGATTTAGCTCAGTGTCACTTCACAAGCACAAGGTTCTGAGCTTAATCCCAGGCACCATTTTAAAAAAATGATGCACTACTGACAACTTTTGGCTAAGCCATTCTTGAAATGATATCTTGACATTCTTGCTCACAATTATTTATTCACAAATATGACCCAGTGCTAAAACTTCACATTAGAAATATAAACCAAGAAGCCAGACAGTAAGAGTAAGGAAGAATTCATTTTTAATGACCTGAAATGCACTCTAGAAGACATGAAATCCCACAAAACTGTTTTCCTTGAAGATAGCTTACCATATTATGACATTTTGAGTGGAAAGAATGAATCTCCAAATGGAGAGAAAAGATTAAAAAAATAAGAAGAATCTGAATTGGGACTTTTAAGAAGTAAACCTTTTTCAAGTCAGCATCCTTTAATAGCAGCAATCACTGCCAAAAGGAGGGTAAGTCCACACCATGAGAAATTAAAAGAGGCCTGGAGGTTTCAATATGAGAGGAACTTCCCCTCTCACAAGTTAGAGGAAGCCTCGTATCTTCACTGTGACAGGATCAGTCTGTGTACCTATTTAAAGAGAGCACATTGATTCCATAACTAAAAAGATGTGCGGGGAGGCTGGACAACACATGTGAAAACTGAGAGTATAGTTACATCACTATTCAGTTCCTCTCTACACATAGAACTGGAATTTTTCAAGGCCAAAGAGGTTAAAACTCTTGTCCAAAGGAGAATTAATAACTGACTCTTGATTTCAACAGTCCTGACTAATCCTTGGCTGCTTTCCCACGACAGTCATAAACAGCCAGGTTTCTGTTTCTCCTAAAACCCCTGTGTAGTCATAAATGTAGCTTCACTGGGATTTTCTCCTTCCTCAGCCCAGTCCTTCTCATGGGAACCGCCCGTCCCTACAGGCGTCCAGTTCCCAGGCCTGGCCACGCCACGCCACGCCAGGCCCTGAGAGGCGAAGCTCCCTGCAGCCTCCGTTCCAAGTGAAAGCGTCCCCTCCCCCGGCTGACCTGGTGCCTGCCTTCCAGTCCTCACCACGCCCTGCCCCCCCACCCCTCGGTGCCCCGCGGCCTTGTGTCCCACTCTCAAGCCCCGCCACTCGGACCCCTCGAGTCAGGAGGCTGTGGTATGGCTGCTGCGGGGGCACAGAGGAGAAGCCCCCTGAGCCCAAAGGCTACCTCTCCGTCCTGCGTCTGTCACCAGTCAGGGTCAGCTCGGGCAGCAGCACTCTCAGCGGCGACACGCAAAAAGGGCGAGCATTGGCACTCTGCAGTAAACTCTGCACTGAGAAGGTTCTGGAAACTTGTTGGCTGCGCGCGCAATTACGCATGCGCAGTGAGTACACTGCCCCTGAAGCGGCTGGTCTTTGTTTCGAGGCCCTGGAAGAGCTGGGGCAGTGAATCTGATACGAGCCCAGATTCACTGGTGAGCACAATTTTAATGAGCAGTTTCGGTGCCAGCCTTCTAGAACCTTTTCTCCAGAGCTAGTGCTATGTTCACACATGGACCTTGCTGGGCCTGCCTTCTTCTAATCAGATCATTCCAGGTAAAAATGTCACCACAGTTTTCTTTCCAAAGATTTCTGTAACAGTCTATTTAGGTGTTAATAATTCATATAAAAACCAACTGAAAAAATGTGCATCGATTCTAGCTCCTTGGGAGGCTGAGGCAAGAAGATCCCAAATTCAAGGCCAGCCCGAACAACTTAGACTATGTCTCAAAATAAAAAATAAAAAGAGATGGGGATGTAGCTCAGTGGTAGAGCACTTGCCTATCATGCAGGGAGTCGTAGGTTCAATCCCCTGTATCCCCAAACCCAAAGACACTTTATCATGTCTCTTGATACAATAAAAGCAAATATTAATGTAGAATAATACTCGCTGCTCTTAGAGACAGCTTAACCATTGCTCTATACCTTTGGATTTAAACTAACCCTCTTATACTTACACTAAATAGTATGCCTTTAGCCTAATATAAAAACAAATATAATTAAGCCCCTTCTAGAGTATACAGCATAGAGACGTGCAAAGTTTGCAAAATTAAAAATACATGGGGGCCAAGACTTAGTGGTGCTGCCACCTGCCTCACAAGCTAAGGTCCTGAGTTTGATTCCCAGTACCAAAAAAACACAAAAAACAAAAACAAAAAAAGAATACCTGGGTGACCAGTGAGAACTCTTTTTTATAAAATACATTATATATAGGTTTAAGCATATAAATGATCAAAACTTTTTGATATTTCTGTTCTTTATATTCTATACAATTACATCATTTAAAATCTAGTCTAAATCTGTTGGCTTTAAAACATTTCATTGTATAAATTAAATACACTTACTGTGATGTGTTTTTTTGTTTGTGTTTTGATTTTTTGAGACGGTCTTGCTGTGTAATCCAGGCTAGCCTTGAACTCTGAGTGATCGATCCTCCTGCCTCAGCCTCCCAAGTACTGGGATTACAGTCATGTACCACCACATCTGGCTTTCATTGTGATTATTAAGACTAGTTCCTGACCTTATAAGAGATCTAAAGCTATTTTTGGATTTTTGTCAATACTGTTGACCTTTGTAAGACCTGATAAGGAATTCTAAATTTCACCTTAAATGTAAAAAGCTAAATTGATCTATAAAGGGCTTGTATATTACACAACAATTTCTATAAAGCTGCAATGCTTGTTACTGCTGACTTTTGTGTATGTTGAGTACATTTGTGTTTGCCAAATATACAAGCTATCTTCTATAGTGCAGAGCCAGAAAGGACACTTGACCATCTTGGTGCCTGTCCCAAACCAAAATTATTTATAATGATACTTTTTCAAGTCTATGTTTATGGGTTCCTAATTGTACTATTACACTTGCCAAAACACTGTCCATTCCAAACAAAATCATCAAAAGGATAATCAAAAGGATTGCATATTAGTTACCTATATATATATGTGTGTGTGTGTGTGTGTGTGTGTGAACAAGAGATCCTACTAGTTCTGATATAATGTCACTCATGATTTTTATCTTAAAATGCTATATAAAATAAATAACTAGATTATCTCATCAATTGCTAAACTCATCAAAATTCTAACCTGGCTTTTTAAAATCTTTTGTCATTCATAGTTCTTACTGTTCTCTGGAACATTTACAGTCAAATTCATAGAAAAGATTCTAACAAGTCCTACCAACATATTGTCTCTTGCTTTGATTATCTTCAGTAAAAATTGATATAATAAAAACCTTTGTTCAAAATTGTTAGCAAACTAATTTTGCTCTGGTTAGTTTTATTTTATATTTTCCTTAAAACTTTGTAACTGGTATCTCAAAATTCTCCGAAGTGAAAATAACAAAGCAATCTAATCCAATGTCTTGAGATGTTATCACCTACAAAACAGGTAAAATTAAATTTAACGATAGACACGAAGTAAACTTGGCCTAAGAATTACTCGTTGTAAACCACTTTTTTGCTCAAATGTGGCTAAAAGGACACTGGCTTTAAATTGTCAAACCTATCCTGCCAGTGTGGTACCAAATAAGCCCTTAACAAACATAACAGCATTCCAGCGAGAGGGCCAATGAAAACAACTGTTGAGCAGTCTGCCTTCCAAGAAAAACTCTCATAAAGATGAAGGGGAAAGCATGACAGTTGTAAATGTCTTAAGAGAGTCACCTGAGTCAGCCTTCTAAAAGGTAGATAGAACCAAGAGGAGGTAAGGAAAGGTTCTCACCCATAAGTGCCTGATAGTAATCCTTACAACAGACTCAGCCAGAATCATGTTGGTCCTGAGTCAAAGGAAGTATAGTTTCACAGATCTGCCAGTAAAAATTCAGATCTTAAAATGTCTGCATATAATAGGACCAGCCACACCTTAAGTAAAAGGGGCCTCTGGTTGCCACTGTACTGCTACTGATTTTTGGTTGCTGTCTATTCAACTGCCTTATCAAGTTTGTGTTTTCAAGGATCCAGAAGATTCATCTCCAAATGATGGCCAAATGAGGATTCCAGTCTTTTGCTGAGAAATCTGTTGGTTCTTTACCCTTTGACCAAGCCACTCAGTGATTTCATACTCAAACTTCATACACAGCACACAACCTCTAGTAGATCAACAAACTTAAGTGCCCCTAGCAAAATCCCCATCCTGCTCAGAGCAGTTATGGAAATAAACACTTGACAAATGATTTATGTTTCGCTGATTTGTCAGCGAGAGATAATCATAGCTATTGGCAGCAAAAAAGTTAAAATCCTCAGCGACAAAAATCTCCCATTAAAGATATACTAAACAGTCATAAGATAATATTCTAACACTGACCAAAAGCAGCATAAGCCTAAAGTAAATTTTTCTCCCAGTAAGAAAGAGTCCCCTGTGAGGGCAAAGCAAATCACCTTTCCATTTTGCAACTGTCCCCCACCCCCAAACCAGGGATCAAACTAAGGACCTTATATGCTTTCCAGGCAGTCACACTGCCACTGAGCTACATTCCCAGTAATTTTGCAACTTTAATATAAAACTTTAGACAAAATGCAGGTGTTCCTGGAAGATTACCAAGGAACAAGATGCCCTGGAAAAATGCATTTCTGATATAAGTGCATTTGCTAACAGAACCTTTTCCCCAACTTCAGTCCTTTATATTTAAAAAAGAAAAAGAAAAAAAAAACCCAAAACTCAATCTCTCATCCCAATGGGACAATTCCTGTCTTAGAAACTCACCCTCTGCCCCTCTTGTCAGTGTACTATGATCTCAGTAAGCTCACTTTTTCATATTCATTGATTGTTGGTAAATTTTTTTGCCACCTCCATTACCAGTCTTCCATACACCATCTCACACAGCAATGTGGCATAAAATGCTAATATCTCTTCTAACTTTATTCTATAGCATATGTTCTCAAAGAGGGGTTATTGCTCCAGGGGGAAAATACATTGGTTCTTAGAAGGCTAAAAACATCTTAGTTAATACAATGAGCACTGGCCTACCAAAGCTCGACTCTATAGTCAACAAGATCTATTAGTATTCAATCTCTCTCCTTGAGGAGAAGTTTAATTTAGATTTTAGTTCATTTAAATGTGTTTTCCTTAAGGAAGGGGAGTATATAATGAGAAAAAACTGTTTAAGAACATTGTTTAGGGTTCGTTTGGTTGGTTTGTTGGTTTTTTGAGACAGGGTCTCATTATGTAGCTCAGGCTGGCTTCAAACTCATATTGTAACCTGGGCTGGCCTCAAACTCAGTAATCCTACTGCCTCAGCCTCCTGAGTGCTGGGATTACAGGTATATGCCACCATGCCCAACTGTTTAGGTGATTTTTATTTTATTCCAGAAATATTTTTACTAAACTTCGGATGAAGCTCAAGTTGAAATGTTGCCTGTATAATTGACGACTCTGCAGGTGAGATAAAATTCAAGAGCTAAACCAATCTAGAAAGACGAAGGTGAAAGTTGGAAAGGAGCTGCTGGTAGAAGAGAGGGAAGAAAAAAATAATTTATATGCTAATTTTTTATTCTACCAATGGTATTGCTTTCAGATTACCTTTAAAGGGAGAATATAGAAGCTACCTCATTGAAACCTCATTTTTGGAAGTCTCTAGAGGGAGTGGAAATGAAAGCCCTATCTGTAGTATAGTATATATAGTCAATGTGTAGAACAAGAGCAGGTCTATTGTATTTTCCTTTTTTTGATATCAAACTAAGGACCTTGTACTTGCAAGGCAGGCAGTGGCACCATTGAGCTAAATCCCCAGCCCCAGCTATTGTAGTTTTTATTCCAGTATATTCAAGAATTATGTTGAGCTGCTGGTGTATAGCAGTCTCACACCAAAAAATATTTCTAGTACTTATTTTTACAATATCATTTAGCTCTTCTTGATCAGACCATTTTAATACTTTTATTATCTTCAAATGATATTTCTGTCTTGCCTTAAACTATTAAATAACTACAGCACTAAGGCTTTCTAAACTCATTTGTTTTTGTTTGGTCAAGTTTTGTTTTGTTTTTCAGATCCTGTTTTGAGAAGGGTGGTTTTTCTTTTGGGTCTTTCACCCTATTTTTCCTCCCACTCTTATCCTGTTCTCACAAATAATATTCTCTGAGGGGAATTGGGCATGATTTCTAAGTATCATTATCTCACTAACCTTGGCTTTAACTTCTGCAGCTGGAAGAATTCTGAATAGCCACAGCAAATGTAATATCTGCTTTAAATATTTGAAATTATTTGCTATTGAACTTTTACTTTTGGAAATCGTCAGGCCTCTTTTTATGCCCTAGAAAATGAGCATAAATGCACCATTTCTCATCCTTCATAGCTACACCATTGTTATCAGAGACAGGAAATAACACATTGAAACATTTGTGAAAAGCAACTTGGTACAATTGTGTTCTATTCAAAACATACTAAATGTTATTCTATAGATGGCTGACCTCCATGATAGAAGTTTTGGTGAAACTGATAGCCACAGGATTCTTTATTTTCTTAATATTTTGTGCTTCAAAAGATCATATTCTTTATCTATAATTTTGTTCAGATGACTGCAGAACCTGGAGAAGCTGTTGCTGCTATTAATGCATAACATACTGCCATTATTGATTTTTTATATAAATATAAACATATATATATATATATACATATGTATATATAAATATATATAATTTGAATTTTTTGAAACTTTAACTGTGCTGTCAACTTTGGAAAAAGTTATCCCAATTTACTGTGTTGAGTCGGCATTGTACAGAAATTGATAGCCATATTGGTCTAGAAACGTTAATTTTTTATGTTTATTTTTTTCCATTTGTACAGGGATAATGCACTACATTAAATATGTAAGGTCATATCTACGTGGGTTTGATTACAGAAACTAATAAAGTATTCTCTAAATAATGAAAAAAAAGAATAAAATAGACTAAAAGAGGAAGAAGTGGTTTAAATGCATTCAGGGACCATTTTCATCTTCAGAATTAAGGATTATTTTAATGTTACATCATTGGCTTTTCTATTTTACTTTCCTTTTTAGTTTTATTTTAGGATTCCCTATTTTTAATGTTCAGACAGAGATTTCTTTAACTGAAATACCGAATAATTTCTCTGGTGTGAAATACTATAATAGTACACAGGATCCTAATGAGATAATTGATAATGTGAAATAGGAAGTAAACGGCTAAAGGTATAGGGAAAGTGGGAAGGGTAGGGGAAAGGTAATAAGGGAGAGGAAAAAACATGAGAAATTGAAAAAATGGAAATAAAGTGTTTGTAAATGGGGAGGGGAGGAGGGGGTGAAGGGAGGCCAGGGACAAGGGGAAAAAATGAGAATCAAGACCTGTCATGTAAAGGTACAGGATCCCAATAATGAATGTAACTGTATTGTATACCTAGATTGTACCAATAAACTCAATAAGAAGAATTTTTTTAAAAAGATCATATTCTTTATTGGGTGATAGTATGACAGGAACCTAAAAGCTGCTTTTGCTAAGAAGCACTGACTCTCCACTTGGGCCGGTTTGCAATGAGTAACTAAAAGTAGGATAAAACTTATCATCTCTGCCTTCATTTTATACATCTTTTATATCTTCAATCTGCATCTGTCTTTAAACTTTGAGTCAGATTTCTGTCAGCTCGGCACACAGGCATGTTAATCACGTGAGAAATTTCGGTCTTGAAACTTGAGATTGAGCCCCTAGATTTCCCTAACATATCTCATTTCCTCTTCGAGACCGAGGACACCAAGATAAGAGGTGACTGAAGTGCTCTCGAGATGTGCAGTTCAGTTGCCTGCTTTTACAACATCTTGTTCCAGACCGCATAGAATGGCACCTAGAAGTCTCCAGTCACTGTCCTAAATCTGTAGTCACCTTGGATTCCAGGAACAAGAGAGCTTGTGTGTACCTATCACCTCATGAAGATCACCCACCATGCAAGGGGGAGCAATTACTCCTTGACCGGAATGGAGGATACCCGGTACCCCATGCAGGAGTAATCTTGTCATGGAAACCAGATTCCCCTTAAATGATAAGGATTTCTGCAGAACCACAACTGAGATGATTATCAAATAGTACCTAGCCCACCCAGGGCCTCACCCCATAAAAGCTGGTCCCTTGGCTTTGTTAACAGGCCAGTCTGACTTTTTCCACCACAGCTGTTCTCCTTCAGCTTTTTCCTCCATTGGAAGTCCTTTCCCCATTTTCTCTGCATCCTCAATTAAAAGCTTTGTCTATTTTCTCATACTTCTTAGCCTGGTTTTAAATTTCTATTGTTACTGGTTCAAAGGGCCCCACATAAGGTATCAACAGTATTTTCCTAATCACTCTAGGTTATTTCTATCAATTTAAATAGGTCATTCAAAATAATCCCAGGAAAGGAAGTGTTTTCCTGGTAAAACTTGTGTATTTTTGATGTTTGAAAATCACCTTTCTTTCCTAAATAAAAGCTTTTATATTTTAAAGCATTGTTCCTTAAGAATTAAATTAGGAATTATTTCTAGTTTATTCAAAAATTGCTTAGTGGGAGGGTTGGGGATTTAGCTCAGCGGTTTTGCTGCCTGCCTTGCAAGCACAAGGTCCTGAGCTTGACACCTGGTACCAAAAAAAAAAAAAAAAAAATTGCTATTTTGGTAGAACTGGTGGTTCATGCCTGTCATCTCCACTATTTGGCAAACTGAGATGAGAAGATCAAAAGTTTGAGGCCAACCTGGGCAATTTCCCCATCTCAAGATAAAAAATAAAAAGGTTTGTCTTTCTCTATGGCAGAGTAGTACTCCATTGTGTGTAAATACCACATTTTCCTTATCTGTTCATCTCTTGATAGACATATAAGCTGCTTCCAAGATGTAGCTGTTATAAATTGTGCTGCTATAAATATACATATGCATACATCACTGTATTGTGTCTTTAACTCTTTCAGTAAAGGAATTGCTGGGTCAAATAGAATTTCTAGTTTTAGTTTTTAAGGAATCTCCATACTGACTTTCATAGTGATTGTACTAGTTCTCACTCCCACCAACAAAGTAAAAGGGCTTTTTTTTCCACAGAGCCAGTATCTGTTATTATAGTATTTGATTTCTTGATGGCCATTCTTTCTGGGGCAAGGTGAAACCATACTACAGTTTTAATCTGCATTTTTTAAAATTTGTTTTTGGTACTGGGGATCGAACTCAAACTCGAATTCGGGACCTCGTGCTTGTGAGGCAGGCAGCAGAAATACTGAGCTAAATCCTTGGCATAATCTGCATTTTTCTAATGGCCAGCAATCCTGAGCATTTCTTCATCAAGTCATGTGTAGGAAAATGGATGCGCCTTGAGATAATAATGTTAAGTGAAATAAATCAGACACACAAGCTATATATTATATGGTTTCTCTTATATGAGAACCCCAAATTATAAGTAAAGAGAAAAATAAAAGATAGGAGTAAAGAGATTGATCTTCCTCAGATGGGAAGGGGTTCAAGAGAAGGGGATCTCCCTTAAGGGAGAAGGACATAGTGACGAGAAAGGAAATGAAAAAAGGAATTAAGATATATACATGTACAAGCTCCACATAAGGAATGTAAACATTATGCACTGCAAACAAGTACTGATAAAAATAAATAAAATAAAAAGAGCTGGGGATATAGTTCAGTAGTAAAGTTCCCCTGAGTTTAATTCCCAATACTGAAAAAAATGTTGCCTATTTGGAAATTTAGAATTAGCGTTATTTTTACTCTATATGTTATAAGATAGTAAAAAAAAACGAAAAAACTTTCATTCCTTGATGATATTCCAGTACTTTTTACTTTTCTGTAGCAAGGCCCCTGGTCTGAATTCTTTTTTCTGCTTTTCCTCAGCGATGACAAAACCAATATTGGTGTTTAAACAAACCTGTCTCAGTTTTAGTTACATAGCTGTATCAATTTTGTCCATACTCCTTTTGTGTATTTTGGAGTAGGAATGGCAGCAATTACCTTCAAACACAAGTTTATTCCATCTTTTAGGCTTGGAAAAGTGGCTGCTACAACACCAAAGTGAAGACCAAGGAGGACTGAGGAGAAAATAAGTCAGGGGAGGTCGTAGGCTCACGGTGGAGCCTGGACTCTGCCAAGATCAGCCACCCAACCAACACTGTTATTCAGTAATGCAACCTCCAGTCTTTAGCTGGTAAACCAGACTAGAGATATCATTTCTTCCCCTGAAGCTACTTATGGCCGTGTGACTTTGGTTACAGGACAGATAATGGAAAGTGATGGGTGCAACTTCTAAGATGGGTCAGTGTACAAGTGACGGTCCACTGTGTTACCTTTCCATTGCTGTGACAAAATGCCTGAGTAAAACAATTTAAAGAAAGAAAAGTTTATTTTGGCTTATAATTTCAGAGGTTTTAGTCCAGAGTGAGTGGGCTCTGTTGCTTTTGGTCCTGTGGTGAGGCAGATACATCAGGCAGAAGGGTATGGCAGAGGAAAGCTCCTCACCTCATGGCAGTGAAGAAGGGGGAGGGGCCAGGGACAAGGTGTAGACCCCAAAGGCATCCTCTCTGTGCCCCCCTTAAACCAGGCTCCGCCTCGGTTTTCATCACCTCCCAAGAATGTTATCAGATGATGAACCCATTAGTGGATTAGCCCACTGTTGAACTTAGAGCCTTTTAGTGATCCAGCTGCCTTTTGAAACTCCCATCTCTGAGTCTTCTGGGGGCCTTTTTAGAGCCAGACATAATATCAATCCACCTCTGTCAGAGGGAAATAAGCTTCTATCTCAGCCTCTGTTAATTTGGATCCTTTGCACACTACTAGACATGCTAAATGATCTAAGAATTTAAAAAACAAATTGTAGTACCAATGACAAAAAGGAACTTACCACTAGTAGAAAATCACTTGGAACATAAGTGCTACAGTGCTTTAAGTCGTAGGGTGGTTAATACAAGATAAATGTAGCCATTTATTATTCAGAAAGATATGCTATAAGTAATAAATGAATTACTTACCTGGACTTTAGTATTTTCCACTTGGAAACCACATTTCCAGCCCTTATTTCATAGTAGTATTTTCATCATGTCCTTCACCCAGGTGAACAGCTATGTGTTTATAAAGGTTGCCAGTGCTGTTGGTTTCACATCCCTTACTATAAAGCACCCATTTATATGAAATGGAAATAAAACATGCAGAAATTCCCTTGGATCTGAGAATAGGGTTTCCCCCAGGAAAATCGAGTTTGTGGTCAGTTTAGCTAGATCAGCTAAGGATAACAGCCAATCAGGGTTTAGGAGGGAAATGGATTTCCTGAATAAATATGATCCCCAAGAGCATGTTCTATAAAGATTTTCTCAGGCTTGAAATTCAACATAGGAGTGACTTTGTGGAACTTCCTTCCACCACCATGAAGAGACGTAGCTTTTCCTTCCTCTTCGGCATCACCTTCCTGGCTCTGTTTGAAGTTCAAGGTAAGGGGTTTTGAGTTATACCGTTAGTGAAGTCAGACATGTGAATCACTATGAAAATCTCTTGGTTTGCCAGATAACACTGAATGTTCTGTATACATTAGAAAGGAACAGTCACTCATAGGAGCACATTGGTGGTTGATTATCCAAAGGTCATAACTTGGGCTGCCAAGTCAAACAAGAGTCTTCTCAGTCTAGGTGTGTGAGTTCCTAGAAGTGTGCAATAAATGTTTGAACATTTATAATGGGAAGCCCTCTCCCAGATCAAAGGAATTTCTGCATGTTTTATTTTCATTTCACAGAAATGGGTGGTTTATAGTAAAGGATATGAAACCAGCAGCACTGGCAGCTGATCATGAAAAACTATCTCCCAAATTATTTTTGTCACTGACATTGTTTCTTGATATATATGTCTATGGTTACCTGAATGACAATCCAGGAATCAGAGAGGTTGTCCCTCATCTGTCTACTAACAACTTTTGTTACCTTGGGCAAATAACTTTTCTAGAACTCAGCTTCCTTATCTGTAAAGTAGAAATTTTTAGTACGTGCATTTCCTGTGCCTGGTATGGTGGGACATGCTTGTAATCTCAGCACCTTAGGGAGAGTGAGACAGAAGAATCACAAGTTTGAGAACAGCATAGGCAACTCAAAATAAAAACATTTTTTTTAAAAAAAGGGGAATAAAACTCAGTGTGAGGCCCTGGGTTCAATCCTCAGTACAAATAAAAAAGTAAGCACTGAGTAAATATACACTGAATGAAAGTAAATTAAAGTTTGAAATAAGTAAATTAAACTATGAAAACATATTCTAAAGAATTTTCAATAGTTTAAAGCACATTGAAAAATTTGGGCAGTGGGGAGGAGAGATGAATGGAAGTGGTAATTTGTTATAAGTAGAACTTTCTGTCCAAACTTGAAGGAATTCCATTCCACTAAGGTGAGGTAAAAATGAATCTGGGGGTTGGTTAAGAAACTTGTCCACATAGCACACATGAATTATGTGCCAGTGTGTCTGATGTGTATTGGGAATTTGTTAAGTATTATGAAAATCCTTTTGCTCCAAAAGAGAAAAGGAGGGTAGCTGCGAACAACATCTTTGGACTCAGAAATACCTGAGCTGAAGTCTTATTCCTGCCCCCTAAAGCTGTGTAGCTTTATTCTTTACTTAACAGCTCTAAACCTTAGCTTTCTTTTCTAAAAACTGGATATAATGCCTACTTTAAAAGTTTGTGGTGATGATTTACAAACAATTAGTAAATGATAACTAAAAGCATGACTTAGTCAAATGCATAATTTTTGATGAATCACTTCAATTGAAACAGTGACCTAAATGCATGTATTCTACTCTTTCTCTTTCTCACAGAGGCCCAAATAATGAGGAGTAGACGATGTTCCTGTATTAACACCAGCACTGAGACAGTTGCCCTCAAATCCTTAAAGGACCTTAAACAATTTGCCCCAAGCCCTTCCTGTGAGAAAACAGAAATCATGTAAGTAAAAACTCAAACCTATGTGGCATGTGACATATTGGCAGGGACATTAAATTTATAATGAATACTACTTTCTGGGTACTTCTCCGCACAGACACTTAAATTCCACATGATTAGCCCCTCTGCAAACCTGGTCCGCTCCTGTCATTTCTTCCCCTAAAATTAAATTTCTGGTAGAGGTTAGGAACCAAAGATAACGTAATACTTAAATGATATTATTTTCATTGTTGAAAATGTTTGTTTTTCAAGAACAAAGAAAATTACATATATTTGAAGCTAATTAAGATTGTAATCCGTGAAAGGACAGATTCAAGCAATATTGAAAATAGGCTTCTAGAAAATGTTTCATGCAGATAATTGAATAGAAGAAAATAAAAATCCCTTATAACCTATCATTCAGTGATAAATACAATTAATCCTTTGGTATATGGTCTTTCAAAGTTCCCGTTCCCTCATTTTCTTTGTATGTATTCTATTTTTATATTTCTTATATTTATATTTTATATTTCTTTGTATGTATGTATTGTATACACACATAAAATCATACACTACCTGTTTATCTGCTGATTTACTTTCCTAGGTTTCAGTTATACCCAGTCAACCATGAGACCACAAAACATTAATGGAAAATTCCTGAAATAAAAATTTATGTGTTTTAAATAATTTTATTATAGTATATTTGTATAATTGTTTTGTTTTTGTATTATTTATTGTTAATTACTGTGCCTAAATTATAATTAAACTTTATCATGAGTATGCACATATATGCAAAACAGCCTCTATAGGGTTTGGTACCACCCAAGGTTTCAGGCATCTGCAGAATGTCTTGAAATGTACCTCCCATCAATAAGGGAGATTACCCTACAGTTTTATAATCTGCTTTTTTTCCTTAACACTATAATTATGAATATTTCCTCATGTCGGTGAATCTCTAATAATGTCATTTTTTTTCTAATATTGGTCTTGTGTTTGTGTGCTGGGGATTGAACACAGACATGTGAGCGATCTCTACCACTGAACTATACCTGCAGCCCTGATAATGCGATTTTAATGGCCAAATTTAATGGCCAGTGAGTGTGCTATAATTTATATGATCAAAATCTGTTGTTAGAAATATAGGTTATTTCCAAATTTTTGCAATTGTCAAACCATTATTGTGGTAGTTTTGTCTTTAATTCTCTCCCATTGAATACCTTTTTTTTTTTAGAGATTAGAATAGCTTGATTAAAGGATATTTTAATAATAACAAGGTATCTACCTTATTATTTTCAGGCAGCACACTCACTTCAGACTATACAGAGAAATTAATGAAAAAATGAAATTATTCAACCAGTTAACCTTGTCTTAGGAAAATGTTTTATTATATTTTAAGTAGTTTGATTAGAAAATTCATTAAATTCATGCTTATTTTCATTATTTCGCCAAAAAATGTATTAAATTAGTAATGGAAAAAAGAAATATCATTGCTGTTTCTTTGGCAGTGCTACAAGGAAGAATGGGAGTCAAACGTGTCTAAATCCAGATTCAGCAAAAGTGAAGGAACTGGTGAAACAGTGGGAGAAGCAGGTTGGTGAAAGGGAGAACAAAATTTTCTTTCTGTTAGAAATAAGCTTTGGGAGACAAAGAATATATGTAGCTCCATTAAAGATATATTTTTATCTTTTTACATTGTATTTAACAGAATGTTAGACACTGAAGATACAAAAGTAATAAGATGTAAACCCTTCTGTAGCAAGTGTTCTTTAACAATATATAGCCACTGTGATACAGTGGGAGAAATAAAAAATAAAGGCATATGTGTGATTCTTGAAGATGACATAGAAAGGAGTAATTAACCTTGCTAGGGGAGAGAGGCAGGTAAAAAGCTTTAAGGAAGACTTCTCATATTTGATTTGGATCTTAAGTGATACGTAAATCACCAGGAGGAGATAGCAGCAGGAACAAAAAAGAAGAATTATGAGAGCTTTTACCATGCTCAGGGAGCCTCACATAATACAGCCAGAGTTTATGTGGAAAGAGGAAGGGAATGCGGTGGGAAAGCAGGACAAGACCCAGTAGGAAGATCCTGCACGAGATGCTAAGGATTCAGGTTTGAGGAGGACCATATACTATGTGGTGGGGAGCGTGGGTTCAGGAGTTAGACAGACTACTAGCTCTTGCTTTGGGCAAGTTACCCTCTTATGCCCCCAAACCGCTTCACAAGTAAAAAGTAGATGATTATAGCACTAACTTCAGAGGGTTGCAGTGGGGGCAGATGGGTGGTAAGCAGGGTTGGAATCAGAACAGTAATAAAGCAGAATAGACAAAAGATAAGCACTCTGAAGACAGCTGATTCCTCCTCAGTGTGAGCAAAATAGAGAATCAAAAGGAGCCCCCATGAGAGAAAAGCAACTTTAAGCTAGTTTTGAGGATAAAAACCACAATTGGGGAGTTCAGATATAATGTAAGGAGGAAAAAATTGTAAGACTCAGAAACATTGCCCCTTTTCCCCCTTTTCTTACAGGCCAACCAAAAGAAAAAGCAAAAGAAAGGAAAAAAACATCAAAAAAGCAAGAAAATTGTAAAAGTTAAAAGATCCCAAGCTCCTCATCAAAAGAAGACTGCGTAAGAGTCCATTTTGCCAACAACTACCTGTGTTAAAATTTGTTTTTAATTATATCAAAATAATTTGAAGAGGTAATGGCCTCTAATAACATGGGCTTGTTAATTTGACTAGAAAATGTAAACCACTGTTATGAAATTGTAACTAAAGCTGAAAAGTTGATTTTACATTCCAAATATTAAGAGATGGTAGCTGGTTTTGTTCTTCTGCCACTGACCAACTGAATTTCATCCCAAGCTTATTAATACTAACATCTGGACAAAAGTCCTCACAAACACATCCCACACGCAACAGCTGCCTGGGCTTCCAGGACCTCAGCCTGCACCCTCCAGAGAGGGTTCTGAGGTCCACGCCATCGAGGCCCCGCCCATCTGCACACCAGTAAGCCAAGCAGCTTGGAACTGAGCTGATCTCACCATACCGCCGTGGCTCGTAGTGTCTGCACTTGAGTCAGCCTGCAGGGTGCCTACTGCATCCACACTGCTTGTTTCCGGGGATCCACCCTCGGACATCGCCAGTGTTTGGCCTTGGAAATCTTTTCTCAGGGTTTTGAGGTGCTGTGGCTCCATCTTATCCACCCTCACTGGCCACACTATTTCTCACTGTTCCCTTGTGCTTTAGTCAAGCAGGTCCCACCCATCCTGCCACAGTTCCATGCTTGCCTCCCTTCTACCTCACAAGTCACACACTCTCATTCGAGAGACTCATTCACCTGGCTTCACACCTTTTCCCTGTTCACCCACAAGAATGCCTTCTCTCCACTTAGCTCCAGTGGTCTGGTCCGCAAGGCTCAGCTCAAGTCATGATTCTTCAATCAACTTTTCTGGAATGTGGGAAGTGTAGCTCAGGTCAGAGCACTTGCCTAACATGCAAAGTGCCCTGAGTCTGATTCCTGGCATTGCAAATAACTAAAGGAAATTTTTTAAACTTTGCAGATGCTCAAACCATCTTAAAATTCGTATTTCCCTTGTGCTTAGCATAGCATGAGTAAGCATTTGTTATCTACTTAGTGGGTGTTTATTTTCTCTTCTCACCAGGCTCTCAGCTCTCTGAAGGTAGGAGCCATAGTTTATTTCACTGACGCTGTCATCAGGTCTAAATAACCGGTACTCGGCTGTAGTTGTTAAGGGTTGGAAGGCAATCGGAGCAGCTCCTCAGAGCACACACCAGCTACTTCCTGGCTGCTCTATGTTACCTCACCCCTGACCTCTTCTCATCTTCTGGCCACAGTCACTACAGGAATCAGGAATCAGGGATGAAGTAACATCCTTGTGTTCTTATGACAGGAAGTTAACTTGGCTTCTCTAATAATAAGAAGTACATTTTAGAGCACTTGTGGCTATTCTGGACTATTTTTTATAAAATATTCAAGACGTCTGGAATCATAAAATCTTAGTTCTTTTTTTTTTTTTTTTTGTACCAGGGATTGAACTTGGGTCCTTGCGCTTACAAGGCTGGCGGCTGAATCCATGGCCCTGGAATCATAATCTTACAAAGAAAAGGGGTGTCCAGATTAGCCAGTGTCCAGCCTTTCTCCATTTGATACAAAAATTCCTCCAATACTGTTCCCAACTAACTCCAGCTTTGTATGATTAATAAGATAGCCACGAAGATCATTTAAAAAATAGCAGCAATATCTTACATCTGTTAAAAGGTAGGGAAAGAAACACACTGCAGAGCAAATTTGGTGCAGGGAACGGGAGAAAGGTATGAGAATGGTGACCCTACGCAAACATCTTTAGTTATGGAGTTCTCCAGTTCCTCCCATGTTTTTCCCATTCTCTGGAAAGAAGAATCCAAAAGAAGTTCCATAATTGGAGAGTCTGTGATCTAGTTTACTCCTAGGAAAGTGGACCATAACCAACTACATATTTTCACCATGTATCTATGATAAATATATTTATGCCCACATTATATTCATCGTTTATAGACACATGTATACTCTAAGCAAATAATTTTAAAATTCAAAGCAGTCTTGGCATATATACTTTGTACTGAGACTCCTTTTTTGTTTAAAGACAGTGGTATCAATAAATAGAGATTTGCCAGAAAACAAATCTTAGGTTTATTTTTTTTAATGTCTTGAACATACCCTTCCTCTGTTACATGCTTAACAATAATTCTCACATATCCTTTATTCATTGGCTTTTTAGCTTTTGTCTCTTGCGGTATAATATTGAGATAAAGAAAGGAAAGCCCTTTAAAGGGCTTTTTGGGGGACAAGCACATTTTTCTGGGAAAACATGACAAATTTAGAATTGAAATTAGACAGAGAATGGCAGCCTATACATTTGAGCTACTTGTGAGAGGCCAGACAAGTGTGATGTTTGGGAAGATAACCAGCTAATGGACATTAATTTTCACAAGGACCTTCACTGAGGAGGCAGCGGGATGTTTTGGAAAGAGCTGAGTTTCTGGTTTCTGAGCTGCCTGGCCTAAGATCAGAAGCCCACTGCTGTTCAGCTGCGTGGCTTTGGTTCAAGTGTGCTGTGACCTTGCTGTGCTCAGTCTTCTCATTTAGGACCAGGGAGAACAGGCTCAACAGAAAGGTCAGTGCTTAGAAAGTACCAGAGAGCCCCTGACCACTGAAATCTGCTGCAGCTCCCTCTGGATGGAGGGTGCCCCACACTGCACAATCAGAGAAACGAGGCCGCAAACCTCCCTGACCAGTTCTTTGTTATCTATGACTTCATGATCATAGCACAGGCCTACTCCACTCTCTGTTTTGCACTAACTCAGCAGCTGCCTATTTTCCCTGCTGCCTCTTTTTACTACTTGTGAGAGCCAAAATGACCCTTGTAAAGAATAATTCAGAATACTACTGGCTTGCTCAAGATCCCACAATTCAGAGTTAACAGAAACAGACATGGGCTCCAGGTGACGTCAGCTGGGTCCCCACGACAGCCTCACCTTCTGTCTGCCTCGCAGCACACTGAGTTCATTTCCTCCTCAAGCCTTTGTGTATGCCATTCCCTGCTGTGCTGGGTTTTCTGTGTCTGCTTGATTATAACAAGAACGACATTTTCTGGAATTTCTTTCCATATGTGATTCTTGGGTAGACCAGAAACTGAGGGACTTGTGTTAGATTTGGAAGGCAGAAGGGAAGGAAGATGACACCCATATAAGATTAAGTATTGGTACAATGTGTAGTCTATTTATAAAAGGAAATAGTTTTTCCCTCCCCAGAGGGAATCATTAAAGATCATTAAAGATCTTCCAAATAAAATGTTATCACCCAGAGATCTGCTGTACAGCACAGCACCTATAGTCAATGATGATGTATTAGGCACTTAAAATTTGTTGAAAAAGTAGATGTGCTAAGGGTTCTTATACACAACAAAGGAATATGAGACAACTTTTGGAGGTGGTGGATATGTCTGTTAGCTTGATTGTGGCAATGGATCCATGGTCTATGCATACATTCAAACTCATCAAATTGTATACATTAAATATGTGCAGTTTATAATTTTTCACTTACACCTCAAGGGCTGTTATTTAAAAAATAAAATACAAAAGAGAAAACAGAAAGATTGTTACCCTTTGAAGTTTCAAAAAATAAAAACATAAAATTAAAATTATTCAGTGGGAGAGAGAAATTAGGGAAACAATTCCTTTCACAATAGCATCCCCCCCCAAAAAAATGAAGCGTCTAGGAATCAATGTAACAAAAGAAGCAAAAGACCTCTACACTGAAAACTGCAGAACTCTGAAAAAAGAGATCAAAGAGGATATAAGAAAATGGAAAGATATCCCCTGCTCCTGGGCAGGAAAAATCTACATAGTGAAAATGGCCATACCACCAAAACTGCTATACAGATTCAATGCAATGCCAGTCGAAATTCAAACAGTATATTTCATAGAACTAGAAAAAATAATCCAAAAATTCATTTGGAACCAGGAGAGACCTAGAATAGCAAAAGCCATCCTAGGCAACAGAGACATGGCAGCGGGTATAACAATTCCCAATTTGAAACTATACTACAAAGCCACTGTGATTAAAAACAGTATGGTACTGGCAAAGAAACAGACCTGAGGATCAGTGGAATACATTGGAAGATACAGAAACAACTCCAGATGTACACAGCTACCTCATCTTTGACAAAGGAGACAACCATCCTTACTGGAGGAAAGACAGCCTCTTTAATAAATAGTGTTGGAGAAACTATTTCAACATGCCAAAGATTAAAGCTAGACTCTTATCTTTCACCATGCACTAAATTAAAATCCAAGTGGATTAAAGATCTAAAATTTAAAAAAGAGTCACTAAATTTGCTGGAAGATGAGTTAAGCAGAACTCTTGAAGACATTGGCATGGGAAAATACTATGAACAAATCCTCAGTAGCACGGGAACTAGCAGAAAGAATCAACAGCTGGGATGAAATTTCAGCAAATCGGGCGTGGTGGTGCACATCTGTAATCGCAGCATCTGGGAGGCTGAGGAAGGAGGATCTCTGTGAGTTCGAGACCAGCCTGGGCTACATAGTGAGTTCCAGTAAAAAAAAAAAAAACAACACCTAAAAAAAAAAAAAAAAAAAAAAAAAAAAAAAAAAAAAAAAAAAAAAAGCTTCTGCACTGTGAAAGAAACCATCAACAGAACTAAAAGAGAACCTACAATGTGGGAAAACATCTTTACCAGCTGCTCCTCAGACAAAGGACTATTATCTAGACTATACATAGAACTCAAAACAATCAGCCCCCCAAATACAAACTCCCAATTCAAAACTGGGTATCTGAAATGAAGAGACATTTCTCAGACAAAGCGTTCCACATCACTGGTCATTTGAGAGATGCAGATGAAAACAACATTGAGATTCTACCTCACCCCACAAAGAATGGCTGCTATCAAGAAATCAACCAATAACAATAGTGGGATTGTGGATAGAAAGGAGCCCTTCTCCATTGTTGTTGGGAGTGCAGACTGGTGCAACCACTGTGGAAATCAATATGGAAATACCTCAAAGAACTAGGATTAGAGGTCCCATTTGACCCAGCTATCCCTCTGCTGGATATCTTTCCAAAAGAATTAAGGGAATTGTACCATAGTGAAATATGCACACCCATGTTTATAGCAACACAGTTTGTAATAGCTAAAACTTGGAAACAGCCCAATTGCCCATCAGTTGGAGATTGAATAAAGAAAACACGGTTTTTCTATAAAATGGGATACTACTCAGCCTTAAATAATGAGAAACTAGAGTCATTCAAAGAAAAATGGATGCATATTGAGATTATACTCTTAAGTAAAATAAATAAGTCACACATGTAAAAATACCGAATAGTTTCTCTGGTGTGAAAAGCTACAATTGTACATAAGATCCTAATGGTATAATTAACAACGTTAAATAGGAAGAAATGGGCTAAAGGTGTAGGGGAAGTGGGAAATGTAGGGGAAAAGAAATAAGGGAAAAGAAAAAAATATGAGAAAATGAAAAAATGGAAATAAAGTTTTTGTAAATAGGGAAAGGAGGAGGGGCAGGGATAAGGGGGAAAAATGAGAACCAAGACCTGTCACATAAAGGTACAAGATCCCAATGATGAATGTAACTGTACTGTATACCTAAAATGTACCAAGAAACTCAATGAGAAAAAAAAAAAATTCAGTGGCACAAAAAAGAAAGAAAGCAAACAAGCCAGGAATGGTGGTGCACGCCTGTTATCCCAGCACTTGGGAGGCTGAGGCGGGAGGATCACCATGCATTCAAGGCCATCCTGGGCTACATAGTAGGTTCAAGACTAGTCTTAACTATATAGCAAGACCCTGTCTCAAAACAAAAAAATAATAGTGATTTTGAGAAATGTTTTGGCCTTAAGAACTCAGTTGTGGATTTTAGAGGAAAAAAACAAAAACAAAAACAAAAAGCATCAAAGTGGTGGAGGAAACAGCCCATGTTAATTCTGGGGTTAATACCTTTGTCCACAGGCTTGTTTCAAGTGTTCACATTGTCTTAAAGAAAGAAGTAGACGAACTTGTCAGAAAAACAGTAAGTATGGAAAAAGATTTGAAGAACAACAAGCATTAAATTAACTCTGCAAAGGAGGAGTATTTCTTATGTGTCCATTTCCTGTTCGCCTTTGGTCATTTTAGCAAATTATTATAATTTTGTCAAAAAAGAAAAGCACGAGCGCCCTCTGGTGGCCAGTAACAAGATTTAAAAACTATAGTTCTCATAGTAAGGTGCTGATGATACAGGCTTGGTTTTTCTATTTCCAACAATCATTGGCTTCTAATGATAGAATAAAACTAAAATTCACATATTATTCACACATTTATTTTGAGGTGATTTTTGTCTGTATAAGTAAGACATTTTAGGAGTTTGCTTTTATCACACAATTGAGGAAATAGAGAAGACTAGAGATTATGCATCCATTCGTCCATTCCACAAATATTGGTTGCCTTTTGCCGACCCTGCGCTCTGCATCTTTCCAAGTGTTGAGGACAGAACAGTGAACAAAACAGAAGGTCTTCATTTCTCTCTTTCTCCTACTGCAGAAAGAGAGGCGATAACAAACTGAGTTTGAAAATATATGATCTACAGAGACTGATGGGCCTATAGAGAAAAATGAAATGCAGGAAGGGTGTGATGAGAGGGAGGAGGACTGATCTCTGCTGAGTTCCTGTTGAGCACACAGCTGAAGGAAGCGAGAGAGCAAGGCCTGCGCTTCATCAGAGAAACAGCAACTACACAGGCTTCAAGGTGACCAATTCAAGGCAGTTCGGAGGTTGCTTTTCCTAAAGCAAAGGAGGCAAGGCAGGGAGTGATAGGAGAAGAGCCCAGAGAGCTCATTTGGGATCCAATCATAGGAGGCTCTGTCACAGTTTGGGCTGCTATGACAAATGACCACAGAGTGGGTGATTTAAAAAACAAACATTTCTTCCTCACAGGTCTGAGGGTGGGAAATCCGAGATCAACAGATGTGGTTGGTGTCTGGTGACGGCCCTTGTCTTGATTTAGAGACAGCCTGCATCCGCTCTGGCACTGAGAACAGAGCCCGGAGCCCTGTGCGTGCTAGTGAAGTGCTCTGATATGGAGCCACAGCCCTCAGGCATTTTATTGTTTTGAAATAGTATCTATAAATTGTTCACGCTGCCTTGAACTTGCAATCCTCCTGCCTTGTGGTGGTCCAGCCGTCACAACACGAACGTGCCTGAGTTGGGGAGTGAGGATTGAGAAAGGAAAGAACACTCAATCCTGACCAGAGAAGAAGAGAAGTCTGATTTATTTCACAGAAACAGCTCCTTTTATAGGTTCACAGCAACAGGACGCTTTTAAGGGCACACAACAACAAAAGACACCAAGTAATTGTTTTTC